GAAAACAGGCTTAAGTCGATAATTATCAATTCTTAGTTTATCATCTTTTTTATATAATAGAACCTGAGCGTTTTGCCATGTTTTTGATATCATGTTCTGTCATTTGTTAAGAAATATTCTCACAGATTCAATAGGTATAATTTCTCCCAACTTTATCATTTCAGTTGTACCGTCGTCTCTAGCCGCTCTATTGTTATTCATTTGGAATAATGAATAAAATTCTACCTCTTGTACAATTATGTCCGGTAGCTGTTCAGATCCAATGTTCAGAATTTTTCTATCAATTGTGTTTGATGGTTTTGATTTCTTTATAACGTACTGTAGAAGTGTACTGTAGAAATAATATAGTACAGAAATCAGTAATACGTATTAAATCGTTTTTGTTTTCCTTGATGTCTCCGTTAGTATTTTTCAATTGGTATATTCTAAGTCGCCCTTTATTGTTCATTTTCCTAAGAACTTTCATATTTTTGTCATATTTTTCATATTTTTCGATTGTTGTTCTTATTAGATCTGTATTGTAAAATCTTAATTCTTTTCTTGTTTTTTTTTTATTTAAGTCCTGGTATTTCCGCGTTCTTTTTAACATATTTCCTTCTCTCAAACATAAGTTCTCTTGTTTCTTTTCTTATTTTCCCTGTTTGTGCTGTCTATCAGTAATACATACTTTCTTGGCGGTATCAGTTTTTATCTTAGTTTTTAGTACATTTATATTCATTTTGTTTATTAATTCTTTATTAGATAGTTTTTTCTTAAGTTCAGTTTGATAACTTTGTAAAATTTTTTTATTGTATCCATTGTAAAGAATCGTTATTGTCTGATTAATTTTTTACATTCTGGTTCAACGTTTATCTTTATTCTAGCTCTTATTACACTGTGACGTCCCGACATTTCTTTTTAAAATTTTCACATATGCCTTAGTTTTCACCTTATGATTTCTCAAATATGCCTGAAATATAAAATAGAACAACTACCTTAACAATAGAATCATCAACTTAATGATAATCTTTTTATTAAAAATGTTACACTCCTCTAAGTTACAATCTTGGCAGAAAGCATAATAATTAATCATTCTAACCTAACCTTACTCATGAATGCACCATATAAATCTATAGATTACCGAGAGTAATCGATAATTCGCAATTACCAACAATTTTTCGGCAAGCATATTAATTAATGATATTAACGGTAAAAATAATAAGTATTCTATAAATTCAATGCCAAGGTATGATCATTTTTAGGTTAAAATCCGTATCTTACGAATATTAGCCTGGCTCTTATGAAAGTAGTTTTTAGATGTGTTTATGAACGCAAAAGATAGTTCACTAAACGGCCGTTAGATATCTACATTCGAGATCGACTCGGAATTCAGAACTAATTTTAATTTAATAATAAAATCTATGTATTCCTATATATATGTACATCTTCATTTAATTATCATTATGTTAAATTAATTACACGCATATATTATATATATATATATATATATATATATATATATATATATACTTACCTTATACTACCAATCCATATTATAGCATCTTATTTATTGCAACATGCTCACTTATCTTGGATACAGACTTCATTAATTGGCTTCGCGCATAAAGTCACATTTTCTCTAAAATCGGTTTTGCCGAAACTACTGAATATTTTATGGATACTTGTTAGCACATTCGATTGCGCCAGAAAATAAAATATACGATAAGACTAATGTAGACGTAAATTTACGTGCAAAATTTATCATTTGGCATAAACCAGTATACTGAATGCGAGCAAATCTGGGCACAGACAAGTGCCAAATCTAGGTTTTTCATTATTTCTTTTTTCTGTTGCATATTGAAGCTGCGGCTCAAGAAAAATTTATACGATCATTTAATTTTTTACACTTTATGTTGTGTAAATATTTAATTTTTATTAAAATACGACGTGATAATGTTTTTTTTTAAGAAATCATATTCAGGCGTAATTAGAACAAGTTAACGGAATGTTTTAATAATTTGATCATTCGCTGTTAACATCATCCTTCATCGGGATGTTTCTGGAAGTTCTGAGCCATTGCAAGTCAGAACAATCCTTCGAGGGCCGATGTTGAGATTCACCGAGGTGAATGAGAATGTTCGAGATGTCACCGGGGCATCGGTCGTGTGTATTGCGTAAGAGAGTAATTGCGAACATACGCATATGCGTACGGCGGAAAGATCAGACGGGGATGTGCAGGAAGAGAGAAAAACGCGAGAGATGAGATCATCTCTCCTCTCCGGCCGCACGTTCGGCTTGGCGCGGCATCGCGCCGCGACATGCCTCAGATGCAGCAGTCAGTACCGGTCCAGCGACCGATTTGGAGGGCTGTTCTCTTCTCGATCTTTCTTACCGAAGTGAACCGCGTGAGGAACAGAGACGGTTTTGTAAAGAAAATCAACGCGAGGTATGGCCGCCCTGTGATTTTCCATTCCGCATCTCGAGATGAGATCGTTATTGTGCAGTTCTACGTATACCGATCGACGTATACCGATTTTCCAGCTCTATCCATTGTTTTCTTCGTCGATTGACATGTAAAATATAAATTTATTTGTTTACATCCAAATAGATTATTATCATTGTAAATAATTGATTATGTTAAAAATATGTTGTGTATCTCGTCAGTCCTTAGAAAAATCTTTGAAAGCACATCAATTTTCTTTTAAAATAATTGATAATTTTCTGATAAATTTATAGTACTAGTATCTAATATCTTGTTAGAACAAATATATGTTCATATAAATGCATACACACAGTATCGTTTAGGAACGTTTCTATTTAGGGATCTATATCGGATCAATTCGACAAGTACAATAATAATATGTACAGTTTTAAAATTAGATGATAATTGCAAGTAATAATTTATAATGTAGGCTTATTCTATTTTATATAAATGATTTTTGTGTGTAGAAAAATTATTTTAAGATATTCGCGAATAAAGGAGAACATCAATAGTATTATGAAGCAAGCACGTACCTGGCTACGAAAAATCATATAATCGCTCGTAGACACACATCGAAATAGACTGTCAGTAGGTAGTTCACAAACATATAAAAGAGTCCCTTTTGAGACCCTTTTTATGGTGGTTTTACCAATCCTTTCATTTTAAACGAAATTCCTTCACCTTCCTAGTTTCTGACTCTCAGCCTTTACATCCCGTCAATTTTTATCGTCAAATTGGAAATATCATCATAGCTCAAATATAAATAAAATTGAGAAAAATAAAAGCAGTATATTCCAAATAAAATTATCGTGATCTCAGCCGTATTAATTTTTACAGATAATTTTAATGAGTCACTTACAGAACTGCATACGACGGACATTTTATATTAGTGGGCGTACACTCACAACTAATCTGTCATATATTTCTCGGAAGTCGTGTTCTTTCTAGGACGGAAATTCAACATCCTTTGTTCATTGAGATAATTATCGTTGCGCGAATTAAGGAAAAGATGTGTGTTATCATTACGTCTTACGACGTCGTAAAAGTCCCGCGTTATATTTACGTTATGTTGCGGTAATATCAAATTATCAAGTAATATCCATTTCTACCATTTGATAATGAGAACTTTAATCTCAGTTTGGCTTATTTTCCATCTCTTTAATTTCTAAGAATCAGAAAAAATGAAAGGTAAATTTAACGGGTTATTAAAGTTAAAGTTACATCGGTAGAGAAATGGATATGAATAAATTAAAAATTCGCCATTTTCTATTGGCGACTCTAAATAGAAGTGATATATATCGCACTTGTTATTTTACAGCAAGTATGCTTCATTCACTCGACCTCTTCCCACATTACGATACTATGCCACACGATATCCCGGGAGTTCAAGACTAAGATCGATAAGGAAACGCTGTGCGAATAGGCGTATTGCTTCTGAGCTACTTATTCTTCCAAAGAGAACGCCCTCGTATGCATTGTTCTTCCGGAAGCAAAACGCAAAAATAAGTAACAACACTAATTATCACTGAAAAAAATCATTTCTGAAAACTACACATCGCGACAACTACGCGCAACGCAAATTCTTGTAACAATTTTTCACGATCTCATTCCTACAGAATTATTTTACATAAATGGACCAGCCAGCAATCTTCCATTAGGGACTATACATACGCGTTCCATACATTTTATTATTCGTAATAATATCAAGCCGCGCTATAAACTTCCGCTCGTCGAGGAGCAAATTGAACGAGATGAATCGAATTAACGCATTCAGCTCGAGCATTTCATCGACAAACTAGTTAACTTTTAATTTCGCGTTGTCGGAGCACGCGAAGAATGCGAGATAAATAGGAAAAAAGCATTCCCGAAGTGCACTCCTAATTTTATGGGATTATACATTGTGCGGGCGTGACGACTGTTTCAGATAGATAAAAAACGTAAAGATACGATTATTTTATTTATAAAAATAACGGTTTTATATATTATACATTTCCACATTATCGAAAGAACATAATTTGAATCAAACATAACGTTTCCGCTTAATAGAAACACATATATTTATTCTACGTTATTCATATAATTCATATATTTATGTTCTTTTTACAAAAGCACTTTCATATCTGTTATATTAATTTTAATCGATTAAAAGTCTCTTCTTGCTTCATTCATTCGTGAAATTTGCCTTTCATTTTATCAATTTATTCGAAATAAATTTGTTGTTCTATTTCATATTCAATCCGCGCCACTTTAGACATAGTTGTAAAGGATCTCCGCTCCGCGCGCGCGCATGTATTGATCAAGCGTTACGTTTTCGCACGCAGGCTCCGCTCGTGCATTGTCGTGCGCAAAGTTAATAAATAATGCGCGGGGAAACGCGAATTGTTCGTCGGAATTATATTTTCGTTTCCTTTTGTCCACTCGCGGAGGCGTTTCGCCCACGTCGGCGGACCGTCGGCGTGATAAAAAAAAAGGGGGCCATGTGTGCGCCGCGCGTGCGATTCCTACGCGCGCGGCCGCGTTGGAGGACCGACGCGTTTCCGGAGAGCCGCGCGACGCACCGCGAACGCGCTTCGCCGCCGTTCGTCTCGACGAACTATCGCGAATCCGTCGGCCCGTTCTCCATATGGAGAGAAGACTGGAAACTGTAACATAGGAGACCGTTGCTCTCCTCCCGGTTCTCCCGGACCCTCCCGGTCAGCTACGCGGTTACGTATTAATAGCGGTCGAAATGATGCGATGACGTAACTCTTTTTGCAGAGTCGCGAATCTTCGATAAGATTAACTTCTTCGAATGAACTACGCCGCGACGATTTGACAAGGAAGAGCTGAACGAAGAACTTGAATTGGTCAATTAAAAAGATGCAAATTATTATTCTTATGTGTGTTCATGTTTCGTGTTTGCCCTTTGTTGCTTATATCGATTTATAAAAATGTTACATACACCGGATGTATAAAATATAATTTATTTTATATTAATTTTTCTATCAATAAAATTTGATTGAGAAAATTGATTATTGATTTTTTATGTAAATAAGTGAGATATCATAACTTGAGAAAAATCAATATTTTATTCAGGCCATGTGATTCTTTCGTATCAGTGAAAATCGAAAAAATGGCGTACATTACTCCTTGACTTCCGAATTCACGGACTGAATCAAAATGAACTAATTCAACGAGCTGCGGACATCTCGAATCGTAAATGCAATCAGACAAAACACTTAGTCTTACACAATAGTACGTCAAGTAATGTGTTTAACAGATAATAAGAAACGCTCGTGTTTTATTAACCAAACGCGATATCGTCAGGATATTTATGTTACGGCAACATATACAAGCCACAAGTTTTTTGTAAGTATTTCACACGTGTCATCCGACTTTAAGTGCGAGAAAAGTATTCTAAATTATATTTTCTTGCAGATGAGCAAATCCTAATTGGATTTAAAAGTATCTTACATTATTAACTGCGCGGAAAAACAGTTTTGCTGAAATATCTAAAAATATGATCGGATACAGGCTTGAAAATAATTTTATTATCATTAAAATAATTGTATAGAGTTTAAATTGCAAGAATTGATTGCAAGAATAAAATTTTTGTATTATTATATTTAAGCGGCCTATATAATTATTTTGGCTCAGCAAAGTTATTTTCATATCTGACTCAATTTTTAGATACTTTAGTAAAAATTTAAATTCTTTTCGAAAGAATTTAAAAATTTGGCCAGACATAATTTTATTCTTCAGAATTATGTATGACGCTTAAATTGGTTGCCAGATTAAAAAATTTTTGCAGTATTACTATTATGTGCGATTTAAGCGCCCTAATAATAATTTTGATGACCTAACAAGATTATTTTCAGAGAATTATTTTCAGATCTGTATCTGGCCACATTTTTAAATTTGCCATTAAAACAGTGAGTGTAACATTGATATTTTAAAAAATATTTAAATAATATTTTGAGGACTAGTCGTTACATTAGAGTTTATACGGTCATCTAATCTATAAGGCGAGCTTGGCACGAATTTCATCGTGTTCAAATTTCACCGCTGACGAAGGTAGGCCGATCGCTGACGTTACGTTACATGCACGCGTCCTTCGTCGTTATTAAAGCGCAGCAATCAAGCCGGCAACGTGTAAACCGATTGTATCATACATGTCCGCGAAAGGCAACGGGAACGAAGAAACGAAACGTCGCCGTCGTGCGCGAAGACAAGGCGGCGTCGTGACGTCCAAGTCGCGTTAAAAGCGCGCTCGCGACTCGTCCTCCACCGGATATATCTGAAACAACTTGATTTTCAAGTATCTGGGTTATCGCTTCGTTGCTCCTATTAAGGTCTCACGAGATTTATCTCTGGTGTTGACCCGTGCTGATCGGTAAGTGCGTGCGTGCGTTATGTCGTCGCTTTTTTAAAATGGTAGTCGCAAGAGTGTGTTGCAAGAGTCGCAAATGTGATTCGTCTTTCACATTTCACGACATCAACTGGTAACGCCACGGCAATAAAGCGTTACGCCCAAGAAATGATGGTTGATTTATTTACACGTTCAGGCCCGCTTGCACCCGATTTAGCTCGGGGATATTAACCCCTTTCGGTACACCGAGAGACTTGGATCTATTCCGAGAAAAATTTCAACTTTTCTACTCCGCACTGCTTTCGTGGCACTGTGTACAGAATTCGGAAAGCTCTTTCGACGAATCCCTTGGATTCGAAAAATAAGATCTTGTGTGACTGATAATCTAAATTCCTAAGAATTTTACTTAGAGAGAAACGGAAACAAAAAAGTAGGTCATGTTAAGTTCCCTTTCTGAATCAGTAGCTAATTCGATCGTCATAAGTCTAAATCGAATTTCATTGAAGTGACTTGCGATATGATGTAACGACTGGATCGTAGTTTACAAGCTCGTAAATTGTTGACAACGGGAACGTATCTGGCATAATAACGACACTACTCCACTCCAGATGCTCCAGATTAAATATCATTAAAATTGAGGCCGCTCTACTCCAGATCGATCATTTTAAAAGAGAAGTGTCTATCGCATAAATTCATTACATTGATTTGTCGCAGAAATCGCAATGTCGGCCAAGCTGCAGCTGCTGGTGGTTGCGTTGTTTCTGGCGGTTCTCATAGTGGATGTGTCCCCCGCCCAGGTATTACTTTCTTTTAAAGATAACACATAACAAAACGTTATACAATTTTATCAAAATTATTATATAATAAAACAAGAGAAATTCAAATTAGTGTCTAAATGTTTTTCTAAATTTCTTTTATATATTATAATTTTAAACATTGATATATTAAAAGGATAATTTTGCTGAAGCATCTAAAAATTTGAAAAGGAACAAATTTAAAAATTATTTCGAGCTATTAGAATTAAAATATAAGATGTTTAAGCATAATAATAATATTGCAACAATGTTTGATATTTCAGGAATCACATACACAATTCTAGATACATCAGTAAAATTATTCTTCCCATACACAATGAAAGTATTATACGATTGGAAAAAGACACAGACTCGAATAAATGAAATATTATACATCATAAAAATTCTTTACATTTTCTGTCTTTTGGAAGAGGAATAATAAAAATATTGAAAACAGTTGATCAGTACTTGCTCTTTTATTTCGTGTTAAAATATTATAAAATATAAAGAAGAGAGGAAAAAAGACAATATTAACTAAAATTTATTTCAATCGATTCTCAGCACAGAAGGAAATCTCGGCGTCGTACGACAACGACGGAGGCATCAGTACAAGATGAGATCATGAACATGCTGGAGGCTGACGAAATAGCCGAGGAGGCGGCGGCGGAGGAGGCTGAGGTCACTCATGAAAATGGCAGAAACGAAGCTGGATCGAAGCAGCGTTTGCTCCAGGCGGATCCGTGCATCGACAAACATTGCGGCGCTGGTCGAGTTTGCCAGGTTTGTGTTGTCGACGAGAAAGCTCTCTCTTTTTATCATGAGTCAAAAATAATTGTTAAATTGCCATGCAAGACGAACAACGATTATGTTGCACAAATTTAATGTAAAAATAATTAAATAGCTCAAAAATGCTTCTTAATTTCTAATTTTCTTCGTCGAGACTTTTAAATCTCAAAATTCTAATTTAGTTTATTTACATTCTTTGTTTCATCATTTCCAATTCCTAATATTTAATCCTACAAAAAAGTGTCTAATGTAAAATGGATTTTTATAATAAGTCATCTAATATCGTCATACTTAATCCTAAAATTTGAAATAAGGATCTCATCCTTTTTTTAACATAAATAGAAACGAAGAGGAAAGATGAAATTTCTGAAATTGAAATTTTTTCAATTTTAGAGCACGGAGGAGGGCACGGCCGAGTGCGTTTGTGTGGAGTTCTGCAACCAGGAGGTCGATCCACGTCGCAAGGTATGCACCAATTATAATGAGACCTTCGGCAGCGACTGCGAGGTCCATCAGGCACGTTGCTTCTGCGACACCGGTGACGCCAGGTGCAGGGGTCCCGACTATCAACATGTCCACATCGTGTATTATGGCGAATGTCGACAAATACCTGTGAGTATTATTTCATCACAGATGCTCTTCAGTGTAGCAAAACCGTTACATTATTTTTGTACGATAAAGCGTGATCGAGCATGTTTATCTATTGTCTAATATACTTGTACAGAAAGAACAATTTTGCTAAAGTATCTAACAAGATTTAATCAGATTCAGAGATTTGGAAATAATTGCGTCAAGTCATTAAAATAATCATACAGGACGTTCAAATTGCTTGCTAGAATATAGACAAGTATAATAAAGCAATGTGCTCTTCATGATATTTTATAAACTCTGAATATCTCTGAATACGCGCAGATGTGCAAAGAAGATGATATGGCCGACTTCCCCAGGCGAATGCGCGACTGGCTGTTCAACATCATGCGCGATTTGGCGGATCGTCAGGAATTGCCGTCGCATTACTTAAAGATGCAACGCGAAGCGGAGACCAATCACACCTTGCGTTGGACGAACGCGGCCATTTGGAAGTGGTGCGACCTGGACGGTCATCCGCACGATCGGGCGGTGTCTAGGCACGAACTCTTCCCGATCAAGGCACCCTTGATGGCCCTCGAACATTGTATCGCGCCCTTCCTCGACTCTTGCGACGTCAATGACGATCACAAGATCACGCTGCTCGAGTGGGGCAAATGTTTGCAGCTTGATGAGGTATGTTTATTTTTTCTTCTTTCTATTTTTCCTCGAGAACACATTGTAAGAGGACAGAATTTTGCAAGTTGTTTTAATGTACTTTTGTCAGACTCTCTTAGAAACTTGGATGAGTTTTCTAGGTATGGACGCGCGTGTCTCCTTTGGTCTGATTTACAAATATTTTAATATAAAATTGTCAAGAGATATTATTGCGTGATATATAAATTTAAGCATGATTATCGTATATTGAATTTTGTAACGTAAGGAACTTACGATATTTTGTTTGTTGATAAATGTGCACGATACAATGTGCGTGATACAAAAAGTAAGCAGTAAAATAATCGCTTGGTCTGAAAATGGTTCTTAAAATAATAATAGAGTTATGCCCTTTAGCGACTATGTGCGCATGCGAAATTAATTATTTTTTACTTTACACTTTGCAGTTTTTTTTACTCATGATAGCTATATTTAGTTGTAGATAGTAAACTTAACATATCTTGTACATAATTCTTTCGAGACTCATAAATAGAACGAGAAGGAAAAACTATCCTTTTCTCAAGAAAAGAAACTAAAAGAATATTTTGCTATACAAACACAAGAGCATTCTTCGCACAAACTCTTAATTAACATTGTTAATTGAATAATGAAGCCTAAATGTATGGTATAAAACACAGAAAGTGCCACTGCGCAAAATAAATCGAAATAAAATAAATTTCTTAAAATAATGTTTAGTTTTCGAAAAAAGATTTTGAAAATTAATTAAAAGGAAATCAAAAGGAAACATTCATGTTTTTGAAAAATTAAAAGATCATAAAAAATACTAGAAACAATCCATTCTTATTTAATTCGTAGAATGAATAGAATGAATAACTTAGACAACACCGCATTTTAAAGAACATTTTTAAGGATATTTCGATTAATTAAGAAATAAATACGTAAAAAATACGTAAACTCTTTATATACGGAAAATAATTTTTTAAAAAACGTTTGTAAAAAACGATATCAAGATAATACAGAGCAATATTCAAATCATTGCATATCCAATGAGAATAATTTCGTTCGCAATGACAATAGTGACAATGATTATTTCAGGATGACATAGAGGACAAGTGCGACGAGCTGGCAGAGGCGAACCAAGAGCAATATTAGAAGAACCTCCTTGGAGGAAGACGACAGCGCAAACGATGCGGCGGATGCAAGAGCGGGATGCAAGAGCGAGACGGGACGCGAAGTGAACACAATAGCGAGGGGCAAGGAGGAGGGACGCGGAACGATCGAGGAGGGTGCAAAGGGCGCAGGTGATGCGCAGAGCAGGGTAGGGCAGGGACGGCGAAACACGACTGGGTAAAAATGGCGGGAAAAATCCCCGCCAAAGCGCGCGCGCGCGCGCGTCGCGCAG